AGAGAGAAGAGGGAAAGAGGAGAGAAGAGAGAGGGAAAGAGGAGAGAAGGAGAAGAGGAAAGAGGGGAAGAGAGAAGGAGAAGAAAGAGGAGAGAAGGAGAAGAGGGAAAGAGGGAGAGAAAGAGAAGAGGGAAAGAGGGAGAGAAGAGAAGAGGAGAAAGAGGAGAGGGAGAAGGGAGAAGGAGAAGAGGGAGAAGGGAGAGAAGAAGAGGGAGAGAGGGAGAGAAGGAGAAGAGAAGAGGGAGAGAGGAAAGGGGAAAGAGGAGAGAGGAGAGAGGAAAGAAGGGAGAAGAAGGAGAGGGGAAAGAAGAGAAGAGAAGAGAAAGAGGGAGAGAAGGAGAGAGGAAAGAGGGAGAGAAGGAGAAGAGGAAAAGAGGGAGAGAAGGAGAAGAGGAGAGAGGGAAAGAGAGGGGAGAGAAGGAGAAGAGGAAAGAGGGAGAGAAGGAAGAAGAGGGAAAAGGAGAGAAGAAGGGAGAAGAGAGGAGAAGAGGGAAAGAGGGAGAAAAGGAGAGAGGGAAAGAGGGAGAAAAGGAGAGAGGAAGAGGGAGAAAAGGAGAGAGGGAAGAGGGAGAAAAGGAGAGAGGAAAGAGGAGAAAAGGAGAGAGGAAAGAGGGAGAAAGAGAGAGAAGAGGAGAAAAGGAGAGAGGGAAAGAGGAGAAAAGGAGAAAGAGGAGAGGGAAAAAGGAGAGAGGAAAGAGGGAGAAAAGGAGAGAGGGAAAGAGGGAGAAAAGAGAGGGAAAGAGTGAGAGGGAAAGAGGGAGAAAAGGAGAGAGGGAAAGAGGGAGAAAAGGAGAGAGAAAGAGGGAGAAAAGAGAGAGGGAAAGAGGAAAAGGAGGAGAGGGAGAAAAGAGAGAGGAGAGGAAGAGAGGAGAAGAAAAAGAGAGGGAAGAGGGAGAAAAAGAGGGAGAGGGAGAGAAAGAGAGAGAGGGAAAAAAGAGAGAGAGGAGAAAGAGAGGGAGAGGGAGGGAAAAGAGAGGGAGAGGGAGGAAAAAGAGAGGGAGAGAGAGAGAGGGAGAGGGGAGAGGATGAGAAGAGGGAGAAAATGAGAGAGAGGAGAAGAGGGGAAAATGAGAGAGGAGAGGAGATAGAGAGAGAGAGGGAGAAAATGAGGAGGAGGGAAAGAGAGAGAGAGAGGGAAAGGGGGAAGAGAAAAGGAGAAAAGGAGAGAGAAGGGAAGGGAGAAAGGAGAGAGAAAAGAGAGGGGAGAGGGAGAAAAGGAGAGGGGAAAGATGGAGAAGAAAGAAAAAGAGAGTGAAGAGAGTGAGAGTGAGAGAGTGAGAGAGTGAGAGAGTGAGAGAGTGAGAGAGTGAGAGAGAGTGAGAGAGAGTGAGAGAGTGAGAGAGTGACAGAATGAGAGAAAGAGAGAGAGAGCACAGGCAATAAATAAATATTAAACACACACAAAAACACACACACAAAACACACACACACACACACACACACACACAACACACACACACACACACACACATATAATATATATATATATATATATATATATATATATATATATATATATATATATATATATATATATATATATATATATATATATATATATATATATATATATGTACAAATATATATATATATATATGTACACAAATTGCATATATAACTTTTACAGCTGCTTATCTTATCTACAGTGACCCATATCAGGTACCCTAAAATTTCACATGGCCACAAAAATCAACCCATTTTTAAAACATTAATGCATGTTTTTCTTCAACTCTGGCATTCTACATCTAGCACAAGGATACATATATGTATGTATGTATGTATGTATGTATGTATGTATGTATGTATGTATGTATGTATGTATGTATGTATGTATGTGTATGTATGTATGTGTGTGTGTGTGTGTATGTGTGTATGTGTGTATGTGTGTATGTGTGTATGTGTATGTGTGTATGTGTGTATGTGTATGTATGTATGTATGTATGTATGTATGTATGTATGATGTAATGTATGTATGTATACTAAATGCATTTTTTTGTCATCCCATGATTGTATTTACTGCATATTTATGCAAAGGACTTCACTATTTGAATTTTAAGGATATATTACATTAATATTTGAAAATGCAATATTAATATCTATAGGTTAATTCATATGCTCAAATTCAAGAGTTACTGTTATTTTAGAATAAATAGAGGCACTGCATTTACATGTTAAGAAAAATATATTTCACTAAGGCAATTGCACAATTTTACTTTGCTTTTCTTTTGAATGTGAACTTTAGAAAAATTCACTGCACAAATCAAACTTGGTAATTCTTGCCATCTTATCACAGCATTTCCATCTCAAGCTTCTTCTAATAAAGAGAAAAAAATCTACACTAGCAAAGACTAACAAATCTCAAAATAAAAAAATAATAAAAAAAAAAAATAAAAAAAAAATAAAAAAATAAAAAATAAAAAAAATAAAAAAATAAAAAAAAAAATAAATAAATAAATAAATAAATATAAATATATATATATATATATATATAATATATATCCTAGCAATACTGAGCTTCATGACCTCACAACCACCCTATTATCAAGCAAGATACCAGTCTAAGCTCTATCTTGCCAACTTTGCATTTTAGTGTCAATAGATCACAAGTGACTTTACATTAATCTGAAAAATGGGTCTTACTTTACCACTTATAGACCACAATATCAATATGGATTAATCACAATGTTTTATACAAGTCATCAAGTTTTCTACTTTCTTTCTTTAACCCTAATCCTTGGAGCGGCAGGTCTTAGAAAATGTCAGAAACTCTGGAAGATCTCATTCTTTTTCATTCATTACACATTAACAGGAAATCTATACAGGGTCATATGTGAGCAAGAGTGATTACATTCATAACTGTACAAGAGTATCATGGAAATCAAAATATCTGAATATCAAAGGATGTTGTGAACCTTCAACTATGAAAATTCTTTGTTCAATAAATAATTCTGAAAGCTTAAAGAATGACTAACAGATACACTTTAGATAACTCCAAGCAGTTAATCCTCAGCTTTCCTATCTAATATCTACAATCAATCATTTCCAAAATACTAAAACGAACAAGCTACCTCAATTCAATTAAGGGAAAAGATGTATTCATCACATATAGGAAGCCTACACAGGGAAAACGTTTGCTTAATATCTTTGTAGACATTGTGGCGATCAGAGAAAACAAAATCTCTAAATAACATGTTATTTTCGGATTCTTTCACTAAGAAATTATTTTATTCAGTAGGCCCCTTTGAAAACTCAAACACTGATGGACAGACATAACTCAGATAAATTATACCTGTTAATTCCCAGCTTTCATATCTAAATCTCCATGTAACTAATCATTTCTAACAGACTGAAAAGTACACACAAGCCTTGAATTATGCTTAGAAAGATATATTTAAAACTGGAAAAAAAAAAATTCTAAAATCAATGATAGGTGATTGAATTTAAATCACCTTCATTCATTAACCAAAAAAAAAATATAAATAATTGAATTTGAATCAAAGCAAAAGTAAGTTATTTACTAAACATGTATATAAAAAACAAGAAATACAAAGTTTAGTCCTAATTTCACATTCACAAACAGAAGTCAAATATAAGTACCAGTACAAGTGTACTGAGCAATTCCTTTCACATGTGTTAAAGTAGCCTCAAAGATTTAATCACATACTCTCCCTTTCCGGCTCATGCAGGTTGAAATTCTATTAAAAGCTCATATGTGTCTTTTCATCTAATAATCAGAGAGTTTAATATTCACATTTCTTCTCTGAGTTACACATATGTGAATACATATGCATAAGATTAATATAATCAGAATAATATTTTAGTAACAGAAAATATCAAATAATTTAAAAAGTAATAATAATGAAGACATCAAGAAAGGGCAAAATCAAAGGTACAATGTATACAACCAAACCTGATAAATGAAATGAGACTGAGAACCCGTTCCTAAATAGGCCTACAACATCGTCAGGTGGTTCCTCACACCCGGTCTCTTAATCTACCCCTATCTTCCCTCTTTTTACCCTAAATAAAACATTTCCTTGCAATTCTCTTAATACTCATCACTAAAATAAACACGCCTAGAGTAAGAAAACATTGATATTTAATTACTGGAAATGGTAATTCGCTTTTATTAATATAATGCAAATCCATGGTTGGGTTTTTGTACTAAGTGCCGAGACGGGATTTCTCACTGAAAGCCCAGAGTAATAATATGTTTACCCCCATTAGCATCGAGATTGATGTTTATAAACTTGCTAATTAACGTTTCGAAGTAATTTATGCAAAAATAGCTCTATTTTACTCACAAATGCCAATAATAAAACGGAGCGCCGCATCGCGTCCTCGCACAGCCACGTCTAACCCAGGCTGATTGGAAAATGAAGAGTTTTGGCAGATTACGATCAAAGAAACTTCTTGATTATTTTGCTTGTTTATTTTTTATTTTTATTTCATAAAATTATGCGCGTTTTCCTTATATCGTGTAACTAAGAAAAGGTAGAGGTAATCCAAAAGTATTTGTGAATTCATATGGTTTGAGGGCATTCTAGGGAATTTCCCCTGATTATTATTCACCCGGATACTGAAATTACAGGTGTTTGAACAGGTTTTCAGGTGCTATTTAAACTTGTTTTCAAGGACACGATTCAAGTCGTTCTAATATTTTTGCTCCTTATGAAGCTCTGAAAATGTACAGTTTAGAGATTTGTTTCTTTAGTACACTGTGTAAGGAAAATTATATCTTCATTTTATACCCTGTGTATATGTGAAATAAATTAAATTGTCGTATGTTTAATCATCCTCGAAATAACCCTTATAAACAAGTAATAACTCGTAATACATCTCTTACAAGCGCGAAATCTAGTCCCCCAAAACATCCCTGGAGCCCTTCAGGAGACAAAAATTTTCCTAGATTCTCCCCCCAAACGAACGAAAATACCCCAGATCTGATTCGAATCTCCCCCAGAGAGCGGCTGAATTTCCCCCGCATCTCTTATGTTTACTTGTGTCACAGAAACAGCTGGAGGCAGTTGAGAGGGACGCTGCAAATGCCATTTCCTCGGATTTTATCGTCGTTTATTCTTATTCTCCTTTCGTAAGCCAGGGGATTTACATGGCCACGTGATTTAGCTTTTTAATTTGTCTGTTATTTTCAAAAGGAGGGAGAAAATCGGCCGAAAATGGAGCCTGTTATGGTCCTGTCTCTCCTCTCCTTTGCCATGTTGGTTGGTTGTTACACAGCGGGTTCCATTCCTCTCGTCATGACTATGTCCGAGGTAGGTTAATTTTGGCTCTTATTAGAGGAATTAACCGTCTTTGGTATGGTGAGGTGTAGGGTGCATGTAGTGGAATGGTATGACAGTGTGTTGTTCCCGGGAAATATGGTCTTATGTTGACACTTCTAACACGCTCAGCAACAACACATCACCGCCCAAGGTCGTTATGTGCATAGTGTGGAAAGAAGAGATTTATTTTCCTTTTATTATGAAATTTTATACATTGTAGTGTGAGGCCGATCTGTAGTGTTAGTTTCCATCCTGTAAGAACAGCAAATAAGTTATATAAAATAGAAATTAGTGGTGTAGATAACAATGCCAGATTATACACTGCAAATATGATTCTCTGGTTAAGGATTCAGTATGCCGAAACCTTTTTCAGAATATTAAAGGTATAGATAAGGTTTCCATATGCAGATAATATCAGACATGATAGGAGATTGATTATTGTTGAAGTGTGTAATATTTCCTGTGGTTGCATTCCAAAGTTAACATCACATTTCCATAGATCATACCTGGTAGAGCATATAGAAGTGAAAGTTGTCAGTGTAAAATTATAAGAAACTTGCATTGTGGTAACTTTGAAATTTCTTCATAAGAATGGTGTCTTGAAATCCCAGAATGAATTTGATTTCCTAGTAGCAAGGAAAAGAGTCACAAAAGGTTCTCTTTCTTACTAAAACAATGCAATTTACTGTCCTTAGTTTCTCTTACTAGAACAAAATTTCTAATTGACTTTGCAAAAAACTTTTAATGTATAAGAGGCAGTGCATTATGAACAGAACCTTCATAACACTGGGTGATTTATATCTGGGTTATTGTTAACGAGAACAGTGGACCCTCTAGAGACTACGTCCCAACACCAGGGTATCATGCAAACCCAAACACCCAACCTAACCTCTCCTGCCTTCTATTTATTCCCGAAGTTCATTCTTTACAGTACAGATGCACTCATTAGAGTCCCCAACCCCACATCACACACTTTATTCAGCAATCTAAACTGCTGTGACAGGGCATGACCTTCAGCACTGCCCGAGATGAAGGTTGATAAGGGGTTCTGCCCCCCAACACTCCATTGGGAAACATGGACTTCACCTCAGTATGCACGGCAAGATACAGCTGAAACTCGGGAGCACAAGTGGACTTAGGCTGTGGGCGGTGTTTTCCGCAATCTTTTTCATTTATTTGTAGTGTTACCTTTCATGTCTACAGATTGATTCTTGTACCAACAACCTTAACTCTTTGTCCTCTATAAGAATATCGTCTTGAATTAGCCCAAGCTTAGTGCATCCTTGCCATAAAGATTAACCCAAATGAATATAGTGGCATATGAATATATTCATTGAATGGAAAAAAAACTAAAAAGCACGCTATATGCACATAATATAGATGACCCCTGTTATTCAGACTAGATGTTTGTGAGTGTGTGAGGGTGTAAGTGAGGGTATTATTTGTGAGAGTGTGAGTGTATGTGTGTGTGTGTGTATGCGTGCGCATATGTGTTTGTGTGTGTACGCATGTGCATGTGTGTATGAATTAAATCATGTACAATGTTCTCCATTAAATCAATGTCAAAAAGGAAAAAGGAGTGACCTAAACAAATTTAGATAATATCCAATGCAAATGTATATTTAACAAAATCACAATTCTACCTGATAAATGATTAATGGTTTGTTAAGAAATTTGGATACTTATAGACAGATAAGTACATTATTTATGAATTACAAATGCATTGTAACTATGAGGCAATATTTTGTTTATGAAAGTGTCTACATTCAAGGTATCCTGTACTAGGTTAGGATGACTATGGTCATTAAAAAGATGTAGCCCCTCCAGTCAAAGAATTAAATCTTTCAGTTTTGCTGTTACCAAAAGAGGATTAAATTTATGTTTTCCACACTTCTTATTTTTCATACGTGTCTGACTGTTCCCAAAACCCAGTGCATGACCCAGTACAGTGATTACCATGAGTGGATTAAGAAGATTATACATACTGAATGGTTTTAATTTCTTTTAAAATTTCCTAGTAGAACAAAAAACAAATGCATTGAGGTTTACATTGATTGCAAAACCAACATCCAGACAAGGTTACCTTTCAGATAAATGTAGATTATTTTTAATGCTATGTATATAATTATGTATAAGTATTTAAAATAGATAAAGAAGAGGATTTATGTGAAAAAAGATAAATGAATAAATAAAATTATAAAGAAATGAATGACTAATATTGAAAAGGCAAAGTAAATTTTAAATTTTTACTTTTTATGATGGCAGTCTAAATTACTAAGTTTATTGGAAGAATTATGGTTTAACTTCTATTTATGCTCACAAGTGTGTAAAGTCAGTACTTTTATGAGGCTGAAAGCCAAAGGCTAACAACATGATATGCTATCAGAGGTTAGAGTCTCTCTTTCAACAAACACCTAATCTTCTCCCTTACCTCTCACCTTCTCTCTATCTCCCTTTTCCCTCCCCTTCCCTGCTTCCTTCCACCATCGAACTTTCAATCCTTTTCTTTATTCTCCTTCTCTCTTCCTGCTCCACACTCCATCTTTCATGTTTACATCACTCTTTCTTTCTTTCTTTCTCTTTTTGTCTATCTATTATTCACACAATATATTTTATAAAAGGCCATATTTCAATATAGAATATCAAATGGGGTGATCCTTGTAAAGAATGTAATCAGGAGTAAGTTTTAGGATGGCTTCTGTGATCTGATACCATGTATGTTTTGCAGCAAGCTTATATGCATAAATTTAAGTCTAATAATCTTAAATGATTGTGTTAATAAACTGTTCAGTTATACACATGAAGTTGGGTCTTTGTAAATTGTATGAATTTCTGTCTAATGTATAATTTCTTGTGATAGTTGTTCTTAGTCTGTGGTAAAGAATGAGATTAGGGATAAAAGTGAAGCAGGCTCTTGTTTCTGTTTGGATTATCCTTTTTTGACAACCAAATAATCTTTATTCACAGTGGTTTTATGCATTAGTATATCCAGTATTTGTTTAGCTTCGTCAGCACGTGAACATATTAAGGTGCAAACAGACAGAATTAGCAGACAGGAGAAAAAGAGCAAAAAGTCTTGATATATATATAAGATTCATATATCGGAGATATAGCCATTAGTATAGAAATTATAAGAGACTAGAGCAAAGGTGAAGGTGTATGAGAGGTATAGAGACTGAGAGACACTGAGAAGGAGAAAGTTTTTAAGGTCACCTTTTCTTATAAGTAGATACTTCGGTATTCAGATGTCTCTGTATGTATGTGTGCTTGTGTGAGGTTACATTTACACCTATATAGTATTCATATGTCTACTATTCAGTTTATCCTCTTGTAATTCCATATGAACATCTGCTTGTACCATATTGTTGAATTTAAATACAATTGAGTTTTGTTCTTACAGGACCGTATGGAGGTAGTGACTGTGTTGGGTGCCGGCCTGCTTGTGGGCACTTCTCTCACTGTCATTATTCCTGAGGGAGTCAACACTCTGTTCAGCATGGAAACAAGCACAAAAGGTATTTTTTGCTTATTTAAGTTTTTTCTGCATATAGTAATAGTGAAATTATTTTATTCATATGAATATTTGGGTATGACGTGCCTTATAAGATGGATGACTCTTTTTCACAGTATTGATGTTTTGTTATGAAGTCTCTCATATGAAATATGAGCAGCAAATTTTATACACACACACACACACAAATGCAGATGCACACGCACACGCACACTCAGTCTATATGAAGCTGGGAAGTACTAATTGCTGTAACCAGTTCTTGTCCAGAAAATACAGCCAAAGTGGAAAGTACCACAAGATGGCACCAGTATGACTACAGATATCTTTGCATAGATACATATCTCTACAACAGTAAGAGGAATAGTCACATGCCTATGCACAAATTCCCAATGACCTGATCAAAATCCATTATTTCAGGCAGTCACACTGAAGGCCACAGCCACACTGGCGAGGAGGAGGCGCACACAGAACCACACAACCTCATCGGACCTCCCCTTGTCCTTGGGTTCCTGTTGATGTTACTCATAGACCAGTGCTCGGGTGGCCATCGCAAAGCAGGTGATTTTTACTGGCTGCGCATATTTGCATAGGAGCTGCTGCATGTTCTACAGCTGAAAGGAGAATCTCTGAAGATTAAATTCTGTTTATTCAGTTTGAGAGTATGTGACAACAGAAGATATGTTAATCAGCGCTCTACTTTCAGTTGCATTCACTTTTTCTTGCAATAAGAACATTTGAAATAATCCAAAGATATTGGTGAAATTTTCCTCAGTTGTTAATTTTAGGTTTATGATTATGATTATTACAGCATAGCAGTTACATTCATTTTCTTCTGTACTAATGTAATATGGTATACACAGGTGATGCAGAGAATGGAGTTACCAAAGGAAGGAGAAGTTCACTGACAGCCACCTTAGGCTTAGTGGTACATGCAGCAGGTAAGATTACTGTATTTTGTTGTAGCTTGGAACTTTCAATTTTGAAATTTGATTATTAACCAGCTCTAACCACAATAAAACAGGTTAGGCTACTCAAAAATCCTAGTTTGTGATATGTATATAAAAGAGAAATAGAACAGACACAGTCAGGGGCAAGGCAGGAGAGAGATAAGATAGGGAGTAGAACAGATAGGAATCAGAATGGGAATAGAGTGTGAATAAATAGATAATTTAGTTGAATTCCATTTGTTACAATAGATATACTTTGCTGTTATGCTGTCTGTTTATTTTGCTTCAAACTTACCTCCTGTGTGCAAGGAATAGCCAGGATTACCATCCATTGGCAACACACAGGATTGAACACCGATCAAGAAGATTGCCAGACAGTGCACTGAGGGAGAGAGAATCTTTTACACAATTTGATAAAGATAGATTGAAAGAAAGTCATTGCCAACATACTTTGTAGGGACAATTATCTATTGTGTATTTTTTCTGTATAGCTATACACCTTACTGCTCCTTTACTTTCCAATGATAATCATGGGTTTACTTTCTCCATGGATATGAAATGGTTCCTTATTTATTTATTGTCATATGGTGGTGGTCTCTCACTCATTGTTTGTTCCTAGTATTCTTTTCTTGTTTTTCCCAGGATGTATAATTGCATTTGTTCTGAATCTGGGTGCATCACAGCCCATATGTAGCTCAAAATCTAGGCATTAGGCTTCCTTGAGTGGCTATTCTCCTAGGGGCGTAGTTTGTAGCCATGGCTCACATTAACACTCATGTGTGGCACCAAAACTCCTTCCTCATCTTTGCAATTTATTATCTCTTTGTGTAAGCATTTTTTTTTTTTTTTTTTTTGTCATTTTCCAATATCTATATTTGCCCTTTGATATTCTGTATTAAGAAGATAATAGCAATAACAATAACAGTAAGTGATCTTTTGTTATTTGTATCACTTTTTTTTTTAATATGTATAATTCAGTTTCATATAACACACCTTGTGCTGCCAGTCACACCAAGCTGGAATAGGGTCCTGAGCATGGAAATAGTGTCCTCCCTGGAGCCAGCACTCTTCCAGCCATAGCTCATGGATGATTCATTCCACCCTCGCTTACAAGAGCCCCTTCTTAAATGTCCCCCAAGTCTAATCATCTTCCAAGAGCTTTGTGTACTCATGGCAAGTCACTGACATCACCCCCCCCCCATCTGTCAACCAAATTTTTTGTGATGGCATATTCCTGTCAATTGATTTTGAGCTCCTAAGACAGAAGTCTTTTTGGTAAGGGAATTCCAGTGAAATTTGGAATCTCTTTGATAACAGGCACTTGGTCCAGGTATGGCTGGCAGGTCATTAAAGCAAGAATTTAATTATTTCAAGCCATAAAAACAGCCTTTCTTTCCTCCAGTCGCATTTAATCCTTTTGATCTGGATGACGTGACCATGACATCATAAAAAAAAATTGGGGTTAAGGGCCAAGTGACAGGAACATTCTATCCTGGGACAAAATGGTTGCGGGCCGGTTGATACAAATTTGCCATCACGAGTGGATGAAAAAGACTCACCACTATTGCACAAACCTTTTGCAGTGTGATTAGAATCATTTGGCGTTTAGAAGAAGACTGCATTATTGCTATCAATAAACGAGTGTGGAAGGTAATGTGTATAAGCCATGACTGGAGAGTGCTGCTCCGGGGTGGACGCTATTTCCATACTCAGCATCATAGTCCAGCAGCACTTGTGTACATGGAAAGTAATGTATTGCCATCTCGGTAAAGCAAATCAAAAGACAAATATGGACATTATTAGATGGCAAAAAAAAATTGCAGAGGGCTGTGTGATGCGAACATGCCATCATCAGACAAAATGGCTTTTAACTTGACATCATGAGCGAAGGCCAGGGTGACGGAAAAGACTCGCCAAGAGAGCACAAACCTTTTGCATTGTGATTAGAATCATTTAGCATTTAGAAGGAGACTGCATTATTCCTATCAATAAACGAGTATGGAATGTAATGTGTGTGAGCCATGACTGCTAGAGCACTGGCTCCAGGGAGAACGCCTTTTCCATGCTCAGCATCATAGGCCGGCAGCACAGGTGTACATGGAAACTAGTGTATTGCCATCTCAGTAAAGCAAATCAAAAGACAAATATGGACATTATTATTTGGCAAAAAAGGTTTTTTAAAGGTTTATGCAAAATAACTTTGCAGACTTCTGGGTGATGTGAACATGCCATCATCAAACAAAAAGGCCGTGAACTTGCCATCATGAGCGAAGGCCAGGGTGACAGAAAAGACTCGTCACGATTGCACAAACCTCTTGAAGAGTGATTTGACTCATTTGGCGATTGGAAGGGGTTCTTACCATTATTCCCATAGATAAATGAATGTGGAATGTACCCAGGGAGGACCGCCATTTCCATGTTGTGCACTGTTTTCCTGGCTGCTGTGACCAATAGCACAGATTGTATTATGGAAAATTGAAAAAAAATATATTTTTCTTACACTGAATTATTTACTACATAGAGAGTTGATATGGAGTCAGTGCAAGGAAAATAAGCTATTGCCATCTGGATAAAGTAAATAAAATGTCAAATATGGCCATTGAAAAATGGCAAAAAAAAAAAAGAAAGAAAAATAAAAGATTTACACCTGAGAACTTAGCAAAGGGGAGTCTTGTTACTGCTCATGGTTATTTAAATGCACCTAACCAACTTGCCGCATGCCCAGGATGTTGGCTGCGTAACCCACTGACCCTATTTTCGGCACGGTGATTTCCGTGATGCAACCGGATCCAGCAGTTTAACCTTTTTGATCCTGAGTGGGTTAGGCCAACATTTTGAATTATTATTTTTTGTCACAGGCCATGATATGGGATTATCCTCAAACTACTCATAGAAACCTTTTATTTGTGCCTTTGTTTTGTAGGTACTTTGATATATTTGATTTTTTCTTCTTTTTTATTACATTCATGAGAGTTAGAATAAGAAACTTAGGTTGGCAAGCTGCATTCTGAAATATATGACTACAAAATATATATAAAATACCTATCGTGTTTCAGGGTTCGTACGGGTCCTGGAGAATCATGGAAAATCATGGAAAATGAAATTGAAATATCCAGACCTGGAATATCAGGGGATTTTGTCTTCAAGACTGGAATATCATGGAAATTTAGTGTTTGTGCCTTTTTAAATATTTTGAAAGTCTAACTTAGATTTATTTTTCTTATTATTTTTAATTTTAAGTCTTCAGAAAGAAATCAGAATAAGCTTTGGAAGATTGAGGTAACTAATGGTCAAACTCTGTGCATAACTGTAAAAATACAATATACATTCTTTTGATAATATAGTGAGGTGCATCAATAGTTTTTTGGAAGGTTTATGATGCCAATCCTATGTTACTTCATTTACAGCTCAAAGGACATGGCTGAAATTTGTGCTAATTGATGTATGAATGTTAGATAAAAATTATGAAAGATAATCTGGGTGATCAGAAATTTCATCAGATTTAGTATTTTTGTGTTCAAATTTATTGGCCAGAAAAAGGGGAAGCAGCTGCTAGTATGTTTCATAATCATGAGAATTTAATCCACTGACACAAGGTAAGCACATATACATGCACTCTACATTATGATTTTGTTTCAGTAAAAAGGGAGTTTCTTGGAAACTGTTTACCTCATTCCTTGATGAATATTGGGGAAAAGAGCTTGATTTCTGTTATGATTATTATTGTTATTAACATTACTTTGATAGTGATGATTATGATGATATCAATTATGTAAATAGCAATAGTAACAGTAATAAGCATTTAAGAGATTTTTTTTTTTTTATAACGAAAATTCAAGGAAAGGTATCAAGTAAATAGTAGCTGATTCCTTGGTAACAGAACACATATGGAGAATTCTGTGTGCAAAAAGAATGCTAAAACAAAACAGATTATCAAACACATGTAAAAGTACTTGTGGTGTAAAGTATTCATAGTTAGCCTACATCCTGCAGTTGAATATGAAAGAAGGATTATGATGATAAGTTTGGACAAGTGAACATCTAGAAATGGCAAAATGCATAAATAAAAAATTGTCACTGCTTGCACTGTACAGCGCAAAACACAAGGGACATGGTTCAGAACTTCTGTTGTATTCATGCAGTTGTAGATTAGAATGAAAAGAAAGAGCACTTAACATATTTTCTATTTTCATATTACAGCTGATGGCATAGCACTTGGAGCTGCAGTCTCATCATCACACACAGATGTTGAAATGATCGTGTTTTTCGCCATCATGCTGCACAAGGTAGAACTCCTACTTTTAGATGCATTTGTTTCATCTATTGAGTGATCATAATCCTTAGGTAATTTCTGTAGAATGCTCACATTTGCATTACAAGCTACAAGTATAGATCTGAACAGCATTCATCCAGTGCTTCTATTTTCTAGTATGTTTTGTGGCTGTTATTATTTTTTGCAACAAAGATATCATTAACAGACTGTATCTATAAACAGGCTCCTGCAGCATTTGGGCTTGTGACCTTTTTGTTGCATGACGGACTAGAAAGAAATCAAATTAGGCGACACTTGCTTGTGTTCGCCCTTGCTGCCCCCATCGGTGCTGTGGTCACATATGTTGCAATTGTCCAGGTAAATATCATTTCTGCTACCATATTCTGTGGTAGCTTTGGCAGCTGTGGAGTGTTGTTCTCTTTCATTCTTTTCCTTTATTGTCCTGACAGATTGAATCTAAGAAAAGTCTTGTCTGTTCATAAAAATGCATTCAGGAAAGAAAAGAAAAATCTGTGGAGATTCATACATTTTACAGGTGAAAAGAGAGTGCTTAGTGCACAATAACATAAAAACATTGATTTGATTATTTGATTTGATAGTGATAGCACAATACTCTTCATCAACGAAAATTTACTGTACAGACGTTAAATTTCCAGAGTGGCACCGAGTCCTTCTCATCGTCCCACAGTACAGGCATCGCTATGCTCTTCAGTGCTGGGACCTTCCTTTATGTTGCCACGGTACATGTCCTGCCAGAGCTCACCAGCCACAGCCATGAGGGAGGAGGGGGAGGCAACCATTTCTCCCGGAAACAGTTGCTGGCTCTCATTTGTGGATCTTTGCTGCCTCTGTTCCTCACGTTTGGCCACCATCACTAGGCATTTTGTCTCCTTGCGTTATTTTTCATGGGCTTACCATATCTAATGTCTGAGGCGTCTTTCAGGTGATATTTGAATATTTGAAGTATTTTGGGCATTCCGGTACCTTTAGAACATGTTCTGTGGTGTGACTGGATGTTGAAAGCCACCTCAGCGACACGGGGCCTCCTGTGCCAGTGATTGTACATGGATTGAAAAAAAAGAATAGTGCTGCTCCTTTAAGACAAATGTTCATTAGTGAGCTGCTCTTCAAGCAACATTGGCAAGAGACCCTTTGCAAGAACATTCCACTGTGTGGATGGACAGTCTTGTGTGTCGTGAGTTGGTACTTCTCCTGTCCTTTTGTTTATTCTGGTGCAAGCACTGATGTTTTGGTTACCTTTTAGATGCAAATGAATTATAGTTAGAAAATTTTAGTGTTTTTAAGGAATATGCACAAGTCTTCTCTTCTTTCTTTTTTTATAAGGATTTATGGATATGATTGTTAGATTTTGTTTATTAAACTGTCTTACAGTTTTTGTTGTTTATTAGTAATGGTGCCTCTTTAAAACTACCAAGGTAGTCATTCATCCCCACATTAAAGGTTGTCAGGCAGAGCAGTCATTTTTATCACCATATTAGTTATTGTCATACAGAAGCCAGCTGAAATATTAAGGCTGAATGAATTTGCAGGTTTGATATATATATGATTTATCTTCTCCATGAAGATAAAACTGATTTTAGAGATTTACCGTTGTATTTTTGAACTGAGGAACAGTTTTTGTATATCACACTCCCATAAAGGCACAGGTTGTGAACATAATGTAGTTAACTGCACTGAAATATAGTGAAATGCTACTCATTTTTATTACACATTTTAGAGTTAATTTAGCTTTCACTAATAGATATATGCAGTCAATCCAAGGATTTTTATCATTTACAAAGGTTTTGCAATGAAACATGGCAGTTGTCGCCCTGTTAATAGAAGTGTGTATGAGTTTTAAACATTCCTTAGAGCGAAAGGGAAAGATACTTGATACTTCTGCTTCATTTTTTCCCCTTTTTCTTTGCTGTCACAAAATCATTTTTCTATTGCTCCGTTAAGTCTACAGTGCATTGCAAGATCATGAAAAAGTAAAATGGGAATAAGACAGATATGTAGTTTTTCAAAAATGGGATGTTAATATTTTCACATTGCAATATACTAGCATTGATGTATATGATATTATTATTGGTATTATTGTAATTATTATTATTATCATTATTGTTGTTATTATCATTATTATTATTATTTTTATTAGTATTATTTTTTTAGTAATGCTATTATTATTATTATTATTATTATTATTATTATTATTATTATTATTATTATTATTTATACTTTTTCTCATTGTAATGAACTCCAATACCTGTGCAATTTAAAATATTGTTAATACTGTTATTAATCTAAAAATTGTCTATATGATTATTATTATCATCACTTTTATAACAGTCATTACATCATGAAGAACATTATTATCACCATTTTCACCGAGATCACAACTGCCACTATCATTACCATTATTAGTTGTACTAATATCAAAACTTTACTAATTGTAATTGCTGCATATTATTCATTGCTATACAGATGTGACTGTGATACATATATAGATTTTTTTTTTGCAAAGCATAGTCTAACCCTCCCCACAAAAAGTGGGAAGTCTACCAGACTAAATTAATAGAAACTGCCTAATTTTGATTAATGTTTTGGGGTTATTTCCCGATGGATCTTTTATTTTTTGATAGTTATTAATCAGTTATTACTATAAAGATATAATCATTTTAAGTATTTATATTTATTCTAGACCAGCGTCATTAATTTTCCCTTATTTATGTGGCCTGATGAACATGTGTATGAGTGTGTGTTGGAAATATGAAGGTACTTTTAGATTACTCTTCTTTCTCTTTACATTTCACTTTTTTGTTTGTATGGTATTTGGTGTGTGTTGTTTTCTGTTTTTGTTTGTTTAATTTTGTCAGGGAATTATTTGAGCCTCATCATTTATATATTTTTGTCTTCCTTTACTGTAATTATCAATTGCAGTGGATCAGTCCATAGAACTGACAACTGGATGTAAATGCATTTCCAAGATCAAACATTTTGAATAATACTTTTGTCCATTTCTTTCTCCCTTCCTTTAACTTGGAGTCCAGAGGATGAAGAGTGAACTATTTTAAGAAAAAATGAGACTAGTGTAATAGCCTGAAGTGCTTGACTAGTTACTTTTAGTCTACATTTGGCATTAGCTGTTACCTTATAGGGTGAACTGGAACAACAATGTAATTACTTTGGTCAAAGCTTACCTATTTTGTAAAATGAAGTAAATGTTACTGTGCATAAACTGACAGTCTAAAGGTAGCCTGTTTTTCAATGAAAATAGTAAAACTGTGGCCAAATTTTATATATCATTGTCAAAATATGGATGCTGATGTTTTTACATGTATTGTTTTATTATACATGATTATATAATCTTAACATGTTTATTACATACATATCTTCTGACACACACACACACACATATATGTGTATATATATATGTCCATTGCTTTATCTAGTTATTAATCTCTTCCTACCACTAGACATACCAGTT